TAGATTCCAGATGACAGACAAAGCAAACACTTAATGGCCTCTGCTCCCTCTCAAGACCCCTTTCCAATGACAGCAAAGAAATAAAAGCATGATTAATTCATAATAGTAAAGAGAAAAGGAAGAGAACAATCAGACACCTGCTGACTTCAATAAACCTCTGAAAAAGAGGGAGAGGCAGCAGTAAACAATGTTAATATTTTCAATCATAACTATACAGGGGCTACAACAGTTAAAATCATCCTATGAACAAAACAGGAGACTCAAATGTGTTTTTGGAACAGCAGGTGAATGCCCCAACTTTGTAAATGTGAGCGTAAAGCTATCATAGGGAAAGCTGGGGCACAGGGCAGAAGGAGGTAAAGGCAGGGACACTATTTGAATGTTGCACTGTCAGAACTGAAAAAGAATGGCAAACGTTGACAGAACAAGACTCAGAGGTTTCCATCTATTATTTAAGTTCGAAAGATGACCAGTAGAAAACGAAGCCAAAAATAATAATATCATCATCAAGAAACAAAAGACAAGGGTAATATAAGTAAGTGAGCTAAGTCCCCAATTTCAGAGCAGAAAATTGAAAGAATATCTAATACTAATACATTGAAATATAGCAACAGAAGCACATGTTTAGATTAATGAAGGTCATGCCAGGAGCCCTAAAGGACAAAGAACTAAATATGGAGCAGAGGACTTAGGCTTTTCATTATAAGGTCTTCTTTACCATTTGCATAATTTTACTATTCGCCTGAAATCATCTGATAAAAAAGAAAAACAAAAACTAAAATTAACCAAGTATGATATGAACTTTTTGACACATTTACCTGAGTAATCTAGATAAAACCCAAAGCACCTGGAGATGGGAGCAGGTGTCACCATGCCTTTTATTCCCAGCATCCTCCAGTCATAGTGTTAATCCTGTTGTGTGTCTTGGAGAAATGGAATCAACACTTATTCTACTGAATTTGTAAATAAGTCCTCGCCTCCAGTATCCAGTACTGCATGTCTGCTATTCTCAGGTCTATCAATTCTCCATCTTCCCCCAACAGTCCTGCTATAAACATATAGCTTTAATGGCACTAAAAATTCAATGCATCACATCGCCAGTGCTGAGAAAGTGCCTCATCTTACTGACACGGGGTTGACAGAATCACTTTACATAGTGAGGCCTATGATTGCCTACACACAGCAGCTGATATCTACACACCAACCACGATGTGCGTCTACTCACTGTGAGCTGTAGCAGGGAGTGGGGGACAGTAGGAGTCCTACAAAGAATGAAGGCTGTAACTTTCCCCACAGTGTCCTTCTCCATTCACCTGCCAGAGCCAGGACAGTCACACTGACCCTTCCATATGGGTAACAATATCACATCCATTCTAAATACATGCTTTTGGGAAATTAAAAAAAACACGACCAGGCACAGTGGCTCACGCCTATAATCCCAGCACTTGGAGAGGCTAAGGTGGGCAGATTGCCTGAGCTCAGGAGTTCGAGATCCACCTAGGCAACATGGTGAAACCTCATCTCTACTAAAATACAAAAAATCAGCCAGGTGTGGCAGCTTGCACCTGTAATCCCAGCTACTCAGGAGGCTGAGGCAGGAGAATGGCTTGAACCCAGGAGACAAAGGTTGCATCGTGCCACTGCATTCCAGCCTGGGCAACACAGTGAGACTCCATCTCCAAAAAACAAAACAAAACAAAACAAACAAACAAAAAACAAAAACACTTAGCTATGGATTTTTAAAAAATTTTAAGTAGCAGAATTTGGAAAAGATCTAACTTATTATAAAAGGACCTTATTAAAGGGGAAGAAAATTACAACAAAACTAAGCTCCAACTCTAATCAGCCTAACCATAAAATGACAAATTAAAAAAGTAAAATATTCTCAGAGACACCCAATGCCATGCTTGCCTTCTGAATTATCTCAGAAATAATGACAAAATTAAGAGGTTTAAGATTCAAAATAACCAGACTAGTGAGTGGACCTTGTTTGGATTCTGATTTGAACACACTGTAAAAATAAGACAGTTGGATAAATTTACTGGACATTAGATGATACTAAGGAATTATTTTAAGGAACTGGGCCTACCCTGATTAACTGTGTGATTCTGAGCAAGTTTTGTAATCTCTCTGTTTTTGGGTGCCTCCATGTAAGCTGTTGCTAACATTATAGTGACTTCAGTGAGGAATCAATAAGATAAACTGTGCAGTACCCAGAGCAGTGCCAGTTCACACTAACTGCTTTATACCTGTTAGTTCTCTTTCCATGAATTCTTCATCCATTATCCCTCTTTATATTACCATGATATGTTTTGAGGACACTTAATTCACACTTCCACCTCCTATTTACTATTACACTTAATGTCTGCATTGAAGAACAGACCATTATAAACACTGGATAAGCTCTACTACACTCAAGACCTACCCTCACAAGACCTAGCCAGAGAAACTAGGTAAATAAAGAACAGCTTTATTTACTGTTAGGAAACTAATTCAAGACTGTAAAATTTTTAAAAATCATCTATTACGAGTTATACATTCATTAAAGGAAAATATTTTCTATAATTCTAAAATATTTTCACAGTTCAATAATATTACCTCCTGGATTCTTTCACATACCCAAAATTCAAGCAATATAAAAAAGTGAGGCAAACGTTTGGCAATTTCAGTGATTTTGCAGTGTCATAATCTCTTTTTATTCAATAGTAAGATTCTTTGCTGAAATCATTCAGAGTGTCACCCCGGTTTGCTAGGTACCTATCGAGGCACATCACTGGTCATGGGCAGAAGACAATAGTAACAACTGTCTTCAGAGAAAAAATGTCCAGTTCCAGTGCCACAAGAGCTGCCATGGCAAGCAGTCATTCCTCTTTGGCCACCAGTGATTTCAAGCATCATTTTCTCCAATATAAGCAGGTTCCCATGTCCATGCATTTTCACAGAATTGCAGTAGGCTACTGACTGCTGTCCACTAAGATTACCTGTCCTCATGAGAAAGATAGTGCCCATTTTGTTGGGTCTGCTACAGTGACAGCTGCTCTTTCTTTAAAATTCTCCTCAAGCCAAGCCCGAAAGCTGCTCTTCCACATGGACTGGCATCTGAGTCTGCAGTGGAGCTAAGGTAAGTCTCCACAGTCAGAAAAGGATGTTAAACAAGGTCCTGGCTTACCTATATGTGAGTTTCCAGGAGATAAAGCTTGACAAACACATGGTCTTTATGATTTAAAGTAAATATTAAGATGGATTCTTCAAGCCAAACATGAAGTTAGTCATATGGATTGACAATCAATATGGCTATGTCAATCAATACATGATTGACATGTATCCATTCATTCCACAGAGCTTTTGGGCACACTCACTGTGTGCCAGGCCCTGTGCCCAGAGATTGGGGCACAAAACTGATTGAGACATGGTTCTTTCCAATGGTCCAGTAGAGGAAAGAGGCTGAAAGATACAGGGAAAACACTACCCTGTAGAAACTGGTCTCAATGTAAAACGGTGACCACAAACTTCAAGTAGGTCTTAGTGCTGCCAAGCAAGTGTACTAGTTTCCCTGCTCCATCTACTCTCCTATTGTTCTGGTGCCCTTTTCCATGACATTTTAATTTCCAACTTGGACCTCCCACTTGATTCCTAGTTGCAAATACATAAATGCCAAGTTGGCATCTCCTTTGGATGTCCAATATTCATCTCAAATTGACGATGCCTGAGACAGAGCTCTCAACTTTACCTGGCTACCAAATACCCTGCTCCTCTGTCTTCATATTCAGTGAATGACAACTTCATTATTTCAGTTCCTATGCCAAAAAACCTTGGGGACGTCCTTGACTCTGTTCTCTTTTATATTGCATATGTAAATACGGAAATTCAGGATTATGCCAAAGCTCTACTCATGCCCTTTCTCACTCAGCTTAAAGCTGGTAAATCTTTCCTACCACCAAAAAGGGATTGTTTTCCTTCTACCTTGGAGTACCTCAGACTTTACACTTCTTGGCAATGTTATCTCCCTTGCTAGGCTATAAGCACCTTAGTGTAATCATCTTTATTTCCACCATATTTTGGTCTCACATAGTATATATTAAATATATAGTTGTTTGATGAAAGACAAGAAATCTGTTAATAATTAATTGATTTTTAAAAACTGTGCTAGGCACTGTTCTAGCTGTTGGATAATCAAAGTGAGCAAAACAGGTTTTTGCTTAGTATCTAAGGAAGAAGTTGGTGGTGTGAATAAACCCATGGAATCCCAAGGAATAATAGGTTTATAAATGAGGGAGACTAATACTGACCTACCATCAGGTTTCAATACATCAGGCCTAATACATGACCTCATTTCTATAGCTCTGACTTCTTCCAACTTAGGCATAGTTGGAACTTACCTGCCATAGTATTTCCCAACTGACCTGCCATAGTATTTCCAAGAGCATTTCATGGGGAAATACCAACTGCAGAGGAGTCAGGAGACTACCTCTTTAGGCTTCAGTTTCCTCTTCTATAAAATGAGGGAAGTGGTGCTAAGCCAGGTGATCCCATCCCAGCCTGGTGGTCAGTTTCCTTGTATCTGATCTTCAAAGCTCTTTTCCTATGCCACAGTAGCTGAGAGTTTAAACAGAACATTGTACATATATGAGACTAATTCTCACAAGAACTGTTCACTTAACACTTTGGTTATCCTTCAATATGACCTTCCGACAAAAAAACTAAGGCCAAGAGGAAGCTCAAGACAGCGTGTTCACCAAAAGCTCCACTCATTCTATAGCTGATAACGACGTACAGGGTCAGAAGTCCCAACAAAACCCTGATTGGGACTGTGAGCAGCACATTTCTGAACTGACATTTCTGAAACTGGCAAACCTTTCTATAAAGGACGGGACATTCTTCTAACAACCCTAAGTGTGTGTCCAAACTCAGGGCTAGCAGGAGGCAATACCCTCAGGAAACCTGTTTTGCTTGTCCACATGTGGTTTGCTGTACCCTGTTGGGCAATACAGGCATCTCACCTTAGTCGTTCTTCTTCTTTTTTGCGAAGATTGAAGTCTCTCTGAACCACCTGAAGAACATGCTCTGTTTCATCATCAGTCAAACCAGACAGGTCCAGCTTCCTCCCCATGGTTACTCAACACAGGTGAAACAAGACCTGGGAAACCAAAATGATACAAGCAAGATAAAAGCTCTACATGGACAAAATCAACCTATTTTATTATTAAAATAAAGTTAAATATAGCTTTTATATGTAAGTGTTTATGTAAGGTACTATCTTTCTCTGGACTCAGACTCAGCAAATATTTACAAATGACCTCAGCAAGGCCACAGAGAAAAAGAGAAAATAATGGATCATCTGCCAGTTTCATCATCCCAAGTCTTAAATTAAGAAAAAAAAATATTCTTTATAACAAAATGAACCATACATAAGACTCAGTATGGATTTCCACAAAATACCAAAAGGCAGTATCTGAAAGTTCTAAACTTCTGTGCTTTGAAGTTCTAAATGTTAAGTATTATATGTAACTGCAAAATAAAATAATACAAATAAAATAATTATTTTATAAAATAAAAATATGTTAATCTATAAAAAGAAAATAATTCTAATACTTTAAAAAAATATCCTATGTATACTATATCCCTTAAAGTTTTAATCACATGACTATGAAATACAAACTAAAAATCAATAAATTATCTTCTTCAAAAGGATAAAAACATAGCTAAATAATCTTATTTTGCCATTTTCTCAGCAGCAGCAAAGATGATATTGTAGGGAAACACGTCTAAGCAGTACATACCTAAAAATTATGGGAAACTCTATTTTTAAAAATAATTGTTGGTTGGACGCAGTGGCTCAAGCCTGTAATCCCAGCATTTTCGGAGGCCAAAGTGGGCAGATCACCTGACGTCAGGAGTTCAAGACCAGCCTGGCCAACATGGTGAAACCGTATCTCTACTACAAATCCAAAAATTAGCTGGGCATGGTGAGGGGCACCTGTAGTCCCAGCTACTTGGGAGGCTGAGGCAGGAGAATCGTTGGAACCTGGGAGGCAGAGGTTGCAGTAAGCCGAGATCGCGTCAGTGCACTACAGCCTGGGTTACAAAGCAAGCCTCCGTCTCAAAAAATAGAACTGGCAAATAAGTATACAGAATAATGCTTAATTTCAATAGCAATTACACAACTACAAATTAAAACTATATTTCACATCCACCAAAATAAAAATTATATCCAATGTTGGTGGGAAGTAGGACAATGACAATTTTCATTTGGGGGTATAAATTGTACAATCTCTTTGTAATACAATCAGGTTTCATTTTAAAAGTTGAAAATTTATATACCCTATAAACCAGCATTTCTGCCACGCTTAGGTATATGCTTCAGATATAATCTTAAAAATATGCACCAGACATCAACTGGGTTGAATCATATGAAATTTTTAGTTGGGATCATTGACCTATAAAAATGACAATTTCACATAGTTAACCTAACAGAAGAATAGTAACAAAAGTCACATTCAAAATAGCAAAATAAATAAATAAATAAATACATAAAACTGGAAAAACACTAAACATCCATAAATAGGAGGAAGGATTTAAAAAATAGGGCATATTTGTTTTCTACAATAGAATATTCCACTACAGTGGCAAAGAACAAACAATAGGTACATTCATCAACAGGGATAAATCTTAACATAATGTTGAGACAGAGAAGCACACCACATATACAGAATACATGTACAGCATGCATACAAGTATGATTTTTTTAATCATAAGGGTCAAAAACATAGAAAGTCAAAAAACCATTTTCTAGGAATAAGTGTGGTAAAACCAAAGTGGAATGTGGTACTTCTAAGGAGAGGAGAGAGGAGTTCATTGGGAATAATCACATAGGGGCTTCAGAGCTATCAGTAATATTCCATCTCATTAGAAAGACAGAGTACTGCTGCTACTGCTTCATCTTGTTATTAAAGGGTTGAAGTCATGTATACTATTGTCTTTAAGGTATCTTCCATTAGCATAAAATCAACCTAAAACTAAATAGAAATAATATAATCTATAAAAATCATAACTAAAGCAAATACTTGCAGCATTGTTCAAGGAATATGCTTATTATTTATAATAAAAATAATAATGATTATAATAGATCACTATTTGATTGATTATCTACTATGTTCCAGATGCTCTAGTTTATACATACATATAAATATATTTATAACTATATATGTAAATTTATACATTCCCATAAAATCCTATTGACAGTCACTACCACCACCATTTACAAATGAGAAAACAGGTCAATTATACATAATGTCTAAGACAATGGCAACCTGGGATTTGACTGTGTCTTGCTCTGACTCAGAGTCCCTGCCTTAATGTCATGTAAATGCTTTCTGTAAGAGGCAGAGGAAATTCTGGACCTCAGGTTTTAAAATCTGATGTCCAGAGTTCCCTTCCCCCTTTTTCTAGCATGTAATGATTAAGAATAGGAGACCCCAAGCATGGTTGCTATTTAAAAGAAGGTTATCTGTCCTTTTCATTTTCAAATAATGGTAGTAAACATAGAGAAGGGAACGGCTCAATCCCCAGAAATCTTTTGCTAGATGATTTAAAACCTTATGACTGCATAATGCGAACTAATCTCAAGATTTAACCAACAAATCACAACAGGAATTCCAACTATTTTTTTAAATTTTATTTTTCACTCCATTAATGCTATCTGTCAAAAATAAATTGCCAGTTCACTTTGCCGTGTGGTGTTAGGGCTGAGGGCAGGAAGAAACCTAGTGTACTTGCACTAGGTTTCAATTAAGTCAATTAGAAGTAACATCCCATCCACAGGCTGCAAAGGCAAGGGAATAAGCTCATGGGCTGCCATCTTCTAGCTTCCTGATGAGCAAAAAGAAACAGACTAGAGGGCACACTGAAAATGCAGACTGATTCTTCCTTTAAAAAGCCTCATTAAATGTGTTAATGGCATTTTGGAGTTTGCTGGAAGGTGACATTTCTGTTCCTTTAACTTTGTTTCACTGGCTTTGGTTTCTGAGAATTCTAAATGAGATTCTAAGATGCCCAGTTAGTGAAAGACTGAAGTGGCAGCTTTGATCATATCAACTCTAAAAAGAAAAAGAAAAAAAAATGATCAGGACTTGTTTTTGTAAAGAAATAAATAAAATAGCTCTAAATGGATAAGTCAGAGACTGAGCACACTTTCTGTAAATTGGTAAAAGCTTCCTCCTTTTTCTACAACAAACACAATCAGAGTCCCTGTGCAACAAATGAAATAGTATCCTAGAGCTGGAGAAGGCTCGTGTCCATGAATAAGAGGACACATAGGTATGACAATCTCATTTAAGGATGAGAAAATGCAATCAGTCCCAGGAGAGAGAAGCAGTCTCCCAAAGACACATAGCCAGTTCAGATGCTCCTGACTTCCAGACCCGTGCCCCCACCCCTTGATTTCTCTGGTTTATAGCCAACCAACATGACAACAGAGAGGATATGTTTTTAAATTTACTAATGAGAAAATTAATATGTCAACATTTAATTATATCACCACTTCCCTAAAGTGTGTTTCTCAGGTTATTGTTCCCACAAGCAGTTTGAGAAAGGGACTCTGAGGTGAAATAAATACAAGAAATGCTTCTAATTATATTGCCTTCGTGAGGCTTACACAAGCCATATTAGCTCATCAGAGCTTCTAAGAAGTCTGTCAGAATCAGTTTGCTTTTGCTTAACTCTGTGTTTCTCAAACATATATGTCTGCAGAAACCTCTTTCTTTGGTAACATCTACCTTTTCACATCCAAAGAAATGACTATCTGGTAAGCTCTACACTAAGTCAAAGCAGTGATGACAAACTCCAGTAGCTATTCCAACATAATTACTGAATTGATTTAGCTGTTTTTCAAATTTAATTATCATAAGAAGCAACAGAGTTAGATGAACTTTAGAAGAAGCTGATGATGGATGCAACTTTAAAGCTAGGAGACCAAAAACAGAGGCAGAATTGTCTACGCTATTCTTGGCTAAAATAACTAACATGAGGAAGGACACAGATGTGTCTACAGGCACTGGTTAATACAACCTTTGCAAATGAAAAAAAAAAAAAAAACCCAAAGAGAAATTACAAGAATACTTAGTACATAATGGAAGATTCATTATAAAAGGTCAATGTCTACATAAGTGACATTCTATTAAAGTACCTAGAATAGAAGGGTCAAGGACAAATGCTTAAATGGGATTTTCACAAACCCACAGTACATTTTTGTGTGTGTGATAATGCACCTAATATAAAGAGAAAAGTAAAACTATAAAGTCCTAAGAGTGATAAAGGGTAATTATTGCTGGGACTTTGCCCTTTGACCATGGTGGGTTTGGGTTACAACTGAAAAGAAATTTCTTACAACTATAGAGAAACCTAAATGTTAAGACTCTCACATTTAAGGCACAGGGGATAAAATGAACTTGGCCTACAAAGGACAAAAACAACAACACTAATAATGAGAGATGTGCTTTCACTGTGTCTGTTCTTTGGAGCAAGTGGTGCTTGAGCTGTATCACTCACTGATCTTCATTCTTTCACCTTCAAGGGTGTTACCCTACCATGAACTGGCCCCTTCTCTGAAATTCACACCTGACCTATGCACAGCAGTGGGCCCAGAGCAGACAGGGTCACACCACTGGGGCACAGCTGATTGGACCAGGCATGCCACCTGACTTATGCAAAATGTCAGAGTCTCTGTCCTGGCAATTTGATATTTGATATTCAGTGAGTAGATGTTAATCTTGGTGTTCTATTTCTCTCCAGCCTGAGAATAGCACCAAATATCCTTTTATTACTGAAATACATTTTCCATTTTGTTTTTTGTTTCCATTTATCACTTTAGTATCTTTAAGTCACTAACAAATGCTCCTTAGAATTCTCACAGAGCTGGCTGTGGTTGGCCAACTGTCCTAACACCATTTATTAACTACTCTATCTGATTTACATGATCCATGGACGGGATAGATTGGCATCCACATGCATGTGTGTGTGTGTGTGCGCGCGCACACACACACACACACGCACGTTTTTCTCAGGACTTTCTGGCCTGACCTGTTCTAAGCTGGTGACTTAGTAGTTGATCTCAGGTAAGCAACACACTTTAAAACCTAGTATTGCAAATCGTCTCTCATCATTTTTATTTTTCAAAACTGTCTGACTTTTTGACATTGCCCATTTATGTCCCCAGATGAACTTTAAAATCATTTTATTAAGGTAGAATTAAAAATCCAAATGAATTTTTTATTAATTTGTCAGTTGATGGGAAAGAACAGCCATCTTTACAATATTAGTTCTTCTCATAAAGGAATTGAGATTCAGTAGAAGTTTAGAAATAAACTAAAAATAACACCCAAATTTTTACTGTGAAAAAAAGGTCGCATAGCAAAAAAACCCAAAAAAACAAAAAACACAATATAGATAAAATTAAAAGGCAAGCAACAATCAGCCAGGTGCAGTGGCTCATGCTTGTAATCCCAGCACTTTGGGAGGCCGAGGTGGGTGGATCACTTGAGGTCAGGAGTTCGAGACCAGCCTGGCCCATATGGTGAAACCCCATCTCTAATAAAAATACAAAAATTAGCCGAGAGTGGTGGCAGGCACCTGTAGTCTCAGCTACTCAGGATGCTGAGGCAGGAGAATCGCTTGAACCCAGGAGGCGAAGGTTTCAGTGAGCCGAGATCGTGCCACTGCACTCCAGCCTGGGCAACAGAGCGAGACTCCGTTTCAAAAAAAAAAAAAAAAAAAAAAGCAAGCAACAATCTAGAGAAAACCATGGAAGATAATTAACCTAATATATTAAGCACCCTCATAAAATACAAGAAAAATATAGAACTCTCTAAAAGATAAAATGACAAAGTTCAAGAGAAAAAGCAATTTACCAACTATGTCCAACACATAGTTTAATAAAATATCACATATCATTAATAATGAAATGCTGCTAATTATAGTAAGTTGCAAGTTTTCATTTAATAAGATTCTGGGAACACAGGTACTCATATACATTAGTAGAGGGACTATAAGTATGTATAAATGTTTAGATGGCAAACTGGCAGTAATTATCAAACGTCCTTAAATACTGACCCAGCCATTTCAATCTGCATAAGAATTTTCTTCAAGAGTTGAAAAAATGTGCCAAGACATATGTACCAGGATGTTCATCTCGGTGTTGTCTATTACAGAAAAATACTGTAAATAAACTGAAAGTCCAAAAGTAGGACAGGTTAAGTTGTGGTACAATCACACAATACAATATTTTATGTCAATAAAATGTATTTAAAGGAAAGGCATTTATGACATATTAAGGTAAAAAGTCAGATGAAAACTATAGCATATAGTTTACCAAAATAATATGTCAATAGAAGAAAGTATACAGCAACACTATTAAAATAGACCCAAATGAACTTGTCTATGCAAGTGTCCATCAACAGAAAAACAAACTGTGGTATATTCACCCACTGGAACACTATACAGCAATAAACACAGACAAATTTCAACAACATATTAACGGTATAGGTATATTGTATTGAGCAAAGTAAGTTAAACTGATGATCCCAATTACATAAAGTTCAAAATCAGGCAAAACTCTTTTGGAATGTTAGAAGCAGGATAGTGGTTACTCTTTGGAAGGAAGAGTGGTTAGATGGGGCCAGGCTGGGGAAGTGGTGACGTTTCTCAATCTGGGTGCTGGTTACGTTGATGGGTTCAATTTGTGAAAATTAATTTAGCTATATGCTTATGATTTGTGCATTTATATGTATGTCATGGCTCAATAAGAAGTAAAATAATATACTATGAATAGTATAATCTTGTATAAATAAATAAGATAGAAATATACTGAAAGAAAAATCACAAAAAAATTACCAACAGTTACCAAGTGATAAAATTTCGTACAATGACATTTTTAAAAATTTGCTTTTGCAGATATTTTCTCTTCCTTTTACAATAAACGTTATTTGAATAAACAAATTATCAAGGATATGTATGAGGATATTCATTTTAGTGTTATTTACAATAGCAAAATTGTTCAAATTACTAAAATGTCTAATGATAAAACATTGATTAAATTTGCTTTTATATAGCTCTAAGATAGAATACCATACTGCTATGAAATGGATACAGCATTGACATAAAAATGTTCAAAACATATTTATAAATAAAAATTATAGATTAAAAAACTATATTAAATTGTCTCAATTTTTTATTTTTCTAAAAAATGTGTGTGCATGTGTGCGTGTGTGTGTGCATGTGCGTGTGTGTGTGAATTCCATTGAAAATAATTAACAAATCATGCGAAATGTTCACAGTGCTAATCTCTGGGCAATAGGATTTCTTATGATTTTTAGTGACTGATTGTTCTTGTTTACTTATATTTTCCAATTTTCTCACAATGAACATGCATTGCTTTCTTAATGAAAATAAATGTTACTATCATGTTATAGGAAACAGCCTGAAAACTGGTCCCTATTGAATTATAATTGATGTCATATTAATTTATAGCTGCAGAGACCATAAAACAAGAGGTGGTACAACACCAGCTACTAAAAACTTCCATTTTATATAAAGCGCTTGAAATAATGCTTAATGGCTACTCCATTAGCATCAACTGGTGAACAAACTAACAATTACTCAGGTTCCTATTATACTTCAAGAATCAAAAAGAAAATTATATTTAAAAACTTGGAAAACTTTCAAAAAACCTGGGGATGAGCACAGGATAATTGCAGATCTTAGTGTAATTAATGCAAGGTGAGTAAATCCTTCCAATCCGAAAAGGCCAAAAAACAAAAACATATAGTACAGCCTCAGGCCTTATTTAAACTGCACAATTTACAAAAATCTGGAAGACATAAAACCATCTATAAAAGAGTTTTGGATTTTATTTAGAAGGCCATACAAACCACTTGGTCAAGTTTGATAACATCAGCTGACATAGGAACCAAAACAAACTCTTACCATACTTGGCTTGCACGAACCTCTTAAAACACAAAGGGGATGTGTCCCTTTAAAGTTTTGCCAGGTGACAAAAAGGTTGGAAGAATATTTTAGATATGGGAGAAAAATAGAAGAGAACCCCCTCAAGAAGGAAATGGAGATATGAAACAAATAAATGATGAAATAAACAAACAAAATTGAAAAATTCGAGATTATCTGGGAGGAGTAGAGAAGAATGAATCTCAAGGAAAACTGATTTTTAAAAAAATATTTAGATTTTTTACAACTATAGAAACAATCTTTAAGTCATTGATTCAGTTTTGGAATTATCTTGGTGTGGATTATAAGGCATGGTTATAGTGCCAAAGACTAAAAAGTGAAACCATAAAGGTAATAAAAGAAAACATTAGATGATTCTTTTATAATTTCAGAGTAGGAAATGCCTTTCTCAATATGACACAAAATTCAGAAGTCATAAAAACACTGAAGAGATTCAACATAAATTTTAAATGTCTGCATAATAAACAACATTATAAGCAAAGTCAAATGCAGAAAAAATTGTCTTTTCACATCGAAGACAAAAGAATGACTTCCCCCAATATAAAAATTTCAACAACTGGAGTTTTTTTAAAAAAGAGCAAAAATCCAATATAAAAATAGACAAAGAGAAAAATAGCAAAGGAAATAGAGTTTACAAAAAGAACTATAAACGGCTCATAAATCTATCAAATATATAAAAAGATAAGTGCAGACTGAAGGACTTTTTGTTATTTAACCTATTGGCTTTGAAAAGATTGAAAAGCTTGTATCATATTGTGCTGTTAAGTCTATGAGGAAATAGGCACTTTCATACATTGCTGTTAGAAATGTAAATTTATACCACTTCTATAGAGGGCAATTTGTCAATATTTATCAATATGACAGGGAGGGAGGGCGGGAGAAGGGGAGAAGGAGAGGGAGGTGGCGTGGAGAGAGAGAGAGAGATTGATTGATTTTCTTTGATTTTTAGTGGTTCCACCTCTAGGAATTTATCCTACAAAGACAATGCACTTACATTCATGCAGAAAAAATGATGATTGTATAGCCATACAATGGAAAAATATGCAGCTGTTAAGGAAAAAAGGAAGAAAAATTATTTATGAGCGAATATGGAAAGTTCTTCAATAACTTACGTATTTAAAGGGTTAAGTACAAAAAGCAAGATGCAGAAAAGTAGGTATAGTATGTTATCATTTGGATAAAACAGGAGAAACAAAATACATGTTTCTATTATATACACACACCTTGCAGTTTGAGTTCAAAAGCAGTAATCTGGCAGAATTTCTTGCTTGTGTGAGGTCAGTGTTTTATATTAAAGCCCTCAACTAACTGGATGGGAGCCCACCCACATTGTGGAGGGTAATCTACTTTACTCAAAGTCCAACCATTAAATGTTAATCTTATCCAAAAATCACCCTCATAGAATATCCAAAATAATGTCCAGCCACATATCCGAGCACTGTGGCCCAATCAACTTAACATGAAACATTAACCATCACAATTGTGTTTTCTTTCTTGGGTTTATAACTTTACGCAGCAGGGAGGACCAGAGAGGGACAAGTCCATGCCATCTTGTCTGAATTGTGGTCTCTCCCTCTCATTTCTTAAGGGTGGTCTTGCTTGTTCTGAAATTCTAAATAGATGCTGTTTCGTTTTAGCATTTTAGGATAGTATTCCATTGTCTTCCAGATATTCTACTGGTTTCTAGTCAGATATCAACTACAATCTATTGCATGCCTTTTGTTCTCTGGTTGCTTTTAAGGATTCTGCTTTGATTTTCAGTTTTAATATAATGTGACTAGAATTCATTTTGTCTTATATTTTTGTCCTGATTTGTAGAGAGTTCATAGAGAAAGCATTTTGTATCCGTAGATTTCATAAACTTTCATCAGTTTTGGAATTTGGAAAATTCTCAGGTACCTTCTCTTCGAATAATATCTCTTTTTGAACCTGTTTTTCTTTCTGTGGCTCCAATCACACACATTAGTTGGACTTTCTTACTGTATTGTTCAAGTCAGATATTCTCTCTTCTGGTTTTATATCCTTTTGTTTTCTCATACTTCATTCTGGATATTTTTCTGACCTAGATCAGAAATTCTTTATTTATTTATTTTCTCTTCATGTATATTAAATCTGCCATTAAACATATATTTCAGGTTTTTTTTGCATTTTTCAATTCTAAATTTTCTTTTTTTTATATAATTTCAACTTTTAGATTCAGGGTGTAGATGTGCAGGTTTATTATATGATAAAATTTCTGCTTTATTATTTTTTACTGGTACTGGTTTTTCTGCCTATATTCCTAATCTTTTCCTTTATCTCCTTAAATGTAGTAACATATAGTTATTTTTAAACCTGTGAATGATAACTCAGTATCTGGGGACTCTGTAGGTCTGTTTATATTTTCCATTTCTTCTGTTCCTTTATGTTTATTTCTTCTCATCTACACTTGTATGCAGTTATTTTCCTCTAGAGAGGATGTATGTTTGTTTCTGTCAGGTGCCTACAGTACCAGCAAGCTTGCATGCATTAGCAGTTTCAGGATTGGGACAATTTGAAGCTAAGCTGCAGTTCCTACACAGGTCTTCTACATCCAATTCACTCTTTTCTTAAGGGTGGTCTTGCTTGTTCTGAAATTCTAAATAGATGCTGTTTCGTTTTAGCATTTTAGGATAGTATTCCATGGTCTTCCAGATATTCTACTGGTTTCTAGTCAGATATCAACTACAATCTATTGCATGCCTTTTGTTCTCTGGTTGCTTTTAAGGATTCTGCTTTGA